ACATGCATCTGAATGATCCAGACCAGCAAACTGCTACAACTTTGGCTTTTATAGAGGTGGTCACACTTGCTGCTGATTAGTTAAACGAGTATTGAATTAGCAGCACCTGGCTGCTACGTAGCCTCTTAATGCCTATGGCAGCAGTAAGGGTGTACTTAGTTTTTCTCACAACTTCTCCATTTTGGCTTTGTTTGACAGTGTAATATGTCATTGTTCATCTGATGTTGTATTTACCTAATTTTAAGATCTGCTATAGATCACATTTAATTTTTTATTTTTTATAAATTTGATTTATTATGTCCTGATATTTAAAACCATAGAATTCAAATGCTTTCCTTTTGACACAACTGTGCATTTGCTTTTTTACCACAATTATCCAAACAGCAAGTCTTGTGATTGCAACTCGAGGCATACAGGCATGAGGTTCAATTGTTTCACCAAATAATATAATGGATAAAAGGTCTGTAATAAATGATCTTGCCAGATATGGTTCCATCAGCTCAAACGTTTGACCTGCTGGGATTTTCTACACAATAGTCTAGCCATTCTTTTGTGATCCCTCTCATTAACAAGCTGTAGAAGCTAGATTTGTTCAGGTGGATCCAATAACCAGTCCCTGAAACAGTGGTATGCAGAAGTGTCTATGAACACCAAAACTGTATGACTGAAGATTATTAAAGCACTTCCTTATTGAATGGATCTCTGTTTTTTTCCTCGTGACCTGCTGATTGCTGGGCCTAATTTGGGGTACAGATATATAATATGTACATAGGATTTAGGCTCTTAAGGGCTCGGCACTGTTGTTTTTAATGGCTTAGTGAACATTTTATTAGAATGCATATTATTTGAATGCCCTAGCTTACATAGCATGCTTGACGATTTTTGTATTCCTGCAAAAGCCTTCTCATTCACTGCCCTGTAGTAAAAAAATCAATTTCTCAGTTAAAAGTTAAACATATATGCTTCCAACTGCGCTGATGCCTTTTGCACAAAATTATAGTGAAACTGAAATGAGGAAGTACATTTCTAGAGGTCCCATCGCCCTCCCCAGCACTTACAGTAGTTAAAGTGGACTGTTCAGTCTGCATGTATAAATTCCTGTCATGTCCTATATCAACAGCAAATACAGCCATTCCTCGGTTAGCGACTTACTGTTTTGCGACCACTCGCACTTACGACGGACCGCCGATTGACCTCCGACCTTGCGCGTCAGTGCGTCACCGACGGAAGTGGTGTCCCCCGATCTTCACTGCGGGTCCCGCTAAGTATTTTTTCATTGCCCGATGTACAGTACACTGTTCGGTACTGTACATCGACAACGCTATACAGTACTGTACTAATACTGCACAGTACTGTATAGAGTTCCTTAACGACCAATTCGTTTAACGACCTGGTCGTAGGAACGGAACTCGGTCGTTAAGTGAGGAATACCTGTATACAGAAGCCTAGACTGATATGTCTTCTCCAGTCTGCTGTGGGAAAGCGGAAGCCTTTGCTAAGTGTCTCTTTCCGCTGGTGATTCCTCCGACTATAACATCGGGACTTGACAGCACGATTGTGATGGTGGTGCACTTGACGCAACCTGATGCATTTTTCCGCGGCAAGCTGCAAGTCACCGCACAACAACATGCTGCTGTGTGGTGACCTGAATGGAGTGTACACTACCAATTAAGTTTTAAAAGAAAAATTAAATTGTGACCGCTCCAGCAGTACGTTATACAAGGTTTACTGCCGGACCTGCCATAATACAGCCCACAAAAAGAACCCAGCATTTTGGCAGATGGGCTAGTGTAAACAGGCCCTCAGAGTAAGTCCCCATTCACACCGTAGCATATTGTGAGCATGCATTCACAAAACGCACACCAAACACAAGGCACTTGCAGTGCCATTATTAGTTAATGGCACCCCAAATGCAGCCGAGCAAATGCCGTGTTTTCCTGCGATGAGAATGCGGAAAAACTTTCCCGCATTTGGTACGTGTCCACGGTCACATTGCAATCAACAGGGATGTGCGACAAACATGGGAATGTGCATCACTATAAAGCTGGCCATACACTTTACAACCATGGTTGTAAGCTAGTTAAAAGCTTGTACGATCTGTCCATCTTGGACAGACCGTACTTGCAATCACCGCAAGCCCGCCCCGCTGAGGGGAGGGCTTCCAATGACTGCAATGCTGAGCGGGCAGTGTGCGCTTGCGCACACCGGCCTGTGCGGCATTTGTCTTACGAGCAAGCCACAAACCCGCCGAAAATCTTACATTTTTTCGGCTGGTTTTCAAACATGCTCGTAAAACCAGAGACGTGCAATCGTACAGTAGAAACGGTTGCACGCCTTCAATACACCTGCCGATATTATCGTACGATCGTGGGATTTCCCGCAATTATCGTACAAAAATCGGTAGGTGTATGGCCACCTTAACACTATGGTGTGAATTGAAGCTAAGCGTCGTTAACCGCTTATTTCTGAGCAAGCCGTTTTTCTATTTTCTTCTAGATAACAATTGACTTTTATAGATCCATGCTGGGTATGTTTGCTTTTTTAACATCTATTCCTGTGTATGGTCCCCTTCATTTCCTGGAACCAAAGTTAAGTTTCTAGGTCTGTAGTTATTGGATGAGCATGGTTTAGAAATAACTAAGCTCAGATCTTTGGGACTGCTAATACAGACTATAAAATGTAGGTTCATTTATGACCTTATGATGATTTCTGGGTGCGTTTTGAAAAGACATTGCCTAAAAAGGCCACAGCAGTTTTATAGGTAAAATGATGCAAATTATTCTTGCGAAAGCTGAGAAATACCATTTTTTTCAATATATCATAGCTGCAGAAACAACAAAACTCATGAAGCAGTCCGTGTCAGTGTATTTAACAATGTGGCTGTCATCTCTGTGATCAGCGTTAAAGGAAACCTCAACCGTTTTACAGTGGAAACTATGACGTCCGCTAAAGCTTTCAAAAATCTATATGAAGGAAATTTATTTTCTGTACATCCATGTAAATGTTTTTAAAAATCAACACGAGGGTTTAGCACTAAAGGAGAACTATGAGGTGAGAGAAAATCACTCATCCTCATTGTTCAAGCCGACGTGTGACAATGCAAACGTCACACGTCGGCTCAATAGATCGGGAAGTGAGCGAACACATACCGTCGCTCGATCACTTCTCGATCCTATCTCTGCAGAGAGCTGTGACTGTCAGTCACGGCTCCATGAAGGGATTCCCCCCTCCCCGCTCCGATGTATGTGGCAGAGCCCAATGAAAGGTAGTACCAATCGATAGACCACCTGCCTGCAAAAACACTGCTGCCTAGGTTCAGACAACCAAGTTAGGAAGCCTCAGCAAAATGACCTTTCTTGCCAAGCTGAGCTAAAGAAAAAGGGAACACCAGTGCAGTCCAGTGAGATGATTACTTGTAAATATTTGGCTGTTAACTGATTTTTGTCACCATTGTACACACTTTCCTGCATACCTGTTGCAACCCTTTTATTGTAACACTATTTACTCTGGAAGGTTGAAGTAGTTTTGAAACCTGTAAATGTCTAACATGCAGTACAGTGGAATGTAGATGGGGTTATTGTGCCTGCTCTCTCACCTCATGAATCACAGTGGCAGCTAAATACATAATTGCTTGGCACTCCACCTATGTTTTGAATGTCTTCATACAAGATTACATTCCTGTTAATTTTGAGGTTTTTGGTTCTAAAAGAATGCTGGCAGTATTTACCAACCTTCTCCACTCTGTCCCCTCAAAGTCCTGTGCAAGTTTAGAGTTTAACCTTTACAGAGGCAATGCCAGCTCTAATTGTGTGTCTAAGGGCTTGTTCACACCGAAAGCATGTGTTCCAAAACGGTAGCTGCTGGAACGCACCGCGATCAGTAAGAAACTTCCCCCCCGCGTTCTGGGGCGGGAGGGGGCGTGGTGGTGCATTGAATTCAATGGCACCGCTATAGTTACATAGTAACATCCTGAATTTACTTGGTACATATCCAGTAAAAAAAAAAAAGTTTTTAAAAAAATTACTTTTAATAAAAAAAAATTAGTGCCGAGGAGGCTATTAAAGATGGGAGACAAACATACGACATTCTAAAATTGTTCCACACTAAAATTATATTTCACTTGTATTTTGTGACCTATAATTCCCAAAATAAACTGAAATCCCAGACATATGGTATACGCTATAAATCAGGACAAATAAAATGATTTATTATGGATTACCTTCTTTTAGCTACACTATTTATGTATACATTATTATTGCCAAAGCTGTGAATATTAAAAAAAAAAATAATTTTAAATATGTCACCTCAAATTATAGCCCATTTTATTCTTTAAAAAACGGTATATAAATATATGTGTCGGTGTAATGCATGATGAAGATTGAAAATATGTTTAAACAAATGCATGGCAAAATTGCTCCGGTCCTCGGAAGCGAAAACATTTTCTGAAGCAGTGTCACTAAGGGGTTAATAGCATACACTTGTAGCGCTGAACATCCAGTTGTAATGCAAACACTGCATAGTCAAGCAGAGGACCCACCATAATGCAGCCAGATGAGCTTTTGTGTGAATGAAATGGAATGATGGGTACCAGTGACCTGTGTGGTAACTGATCTACACCTGTATTACTTGCACTGTAATCTTGAACTGAGCTTCCAGAAAAAAACATTTTTTAGTCTGATGAATATAAACTCTTCAACAGTCACCCAGCTCTGAGGTTTGGGTGAGTATAACATTATTTTATACCCCAGATGAAAACCAGCACTTAACCCTTGCAGCGAGGGGGTACCCCACTACTAGGGTTAAGAATAATTTTTCTTGGAGTTCTTCAAGTAATTTATGATTATCACAACAGTAGAATGGAGGTTGCAGCTAATATGACTGTTCCTTGTATTATGTTCTGTTAACGTAGCTTGTTTTTTCCTAAATGTTACCTTTTAAAAATTATATATTTTTTAAATAATCGCATTAGTTTAACCTAAATGTCTTTTATCGCTATACAGGTTGTTCGATTGTGCCAGAATCAAAGACTCGCTTTGAAAAACAGTCCGCCATATATTTTGGACCTGCTTCCTGATACCTACCAACACCTCCGCACCATTATGTCTCGCTATGAGGGAAAGATGGAGATGCTTGGTGAAAATGAGTATTTTAGAGTCTTCATGGAAAACCTCATGAAGAAGACAAAGCAAACAATAAGTTTGTTTAAAGAAGGCAAGGAACGCATGTATGAAGAGAATTCCCAACCAAGGTTAGTGTCTTCCCTTTTTAACAGCTTGTAAAGCTCCTGGTAGGCAACCTGCTTTAGATTTTAGAAGTTCTATTTCACTGACTGCTCCAATGGATCCCTCTGCTCATGTCGGCCAGGTTCTTATTGCTATTATATATAATGTTATCACCATATGTTCACTAGGCAATTGTATGTAAATGTTCTAGACCATTAGGTCGATCGCAAAGCTAACACTGGTCGATCGCGATCGGCTGTGTCCCCTACTCCTGCCGTGGGGTTTCTCCTCTGGATCCAAGGAGAAGTGAAGCGCTGCAGCCGGCGGCAGGGAGGCAGAGGACCGTGAGGAGGGAGAGAGCCGTTCGGCCAGGATCTGACAGCGGCAGAGGAGCCATAGGCACCTTCTGCTATCAGTCAAACCTTGGGCAGAGAGGAGGGGCATGGCCTGCCACAGGTCTGTGTGTCTATGAATGCACACAGCTACTGCGTGCACAGGTGCCCCCATAGCAGCCGCTTAGCTGATGGGGGCACTCGTGCAGGGGGGGAGGGGGACCACTGAGAGCACCCACTTGAAAACGAGGAATTGAGAACTTTGAAAGAAAAACGGCAACAGTCTTTGAGAAAGGTGGGCCTCCATGTAGCAAATATTCCTCTTTTTTTTAATTTTTTTAACAAAGCTTTACTATTACTTTAAACTCTCTAACTATTTCTTAGACCCATGGTCTACATTTTCAGGTGATAGGAGGTTTTTGTTTGTAAAATGACATAAATAAATGGGTACATAAAAAGTACAACATTGAAACATTGTGGTAAAAACCATGTCTTTATTACTTAGATCAAGTACCAATATCTGATCTAGTAATGAAAACATGGTTTGACCACAATGTTTCAATATTGTACTTTTATAGAATTGTCAGATACAACAGTCCTAACTGGATGCCTGCTAAAAAAAGTGCTTTCTTTTGAAAAATTGATGTTGGCTAAGACTGAGCTAAGCACACAGATTACAAATTATGGTAATTCTGATCAATTGTTTAGTGAACCATAAAAAGCTAAATCTGACCTTTTCTAAAAAGTAAATCTCCTTTGCCATGTTTTAGATTTACTTTTTCTAATTGATTTTTTTCCTTAACAAGCAATTAATTGTGAAGCTTATTCTATAAATACCTGGTGATCCTGCTAGGTAATCACCTAGCTTCCTGCAAAGTGACAGCACTTCTTGGCCTGCATTAAAATCACTGCTGCATTGTCAGTACTGTAGCCGCTAAGGACACAATCATTGCCTTGCCATGCATGCAGAGTGGGGCATTGGCACTGCGATATCCCTCCGAAATTTTACTGCTTACTACCTTGTAGTCCTAAAGTTGACCTGCATCTGACAGAAATGAGACAGGGCGCCCTGTGTTATCTTTCCCTAAGGTCATGCCAAGTTGAACACAAAAGGGAGCCCCTGTGATGTTTACAGAGGGGCAAAGAAGTGCCTTGGTTGTGTTCCAGGAGAAGGCGTGTAAAGAAAAATAAAATTACATGGCACCATAAAAAAAATGCATTAGCTAAAAACTGACATGAATTAAGGTAGTAGTACATTCTGGGCATGTTTTACCTTAATGCATTAGGGTAAAAACTACTCGGTACCTTTTTTCTCTCCTGAAGCGATCCTCCATTCCCTGAACTTTCTGGTTGCAGGGGGAGGATACTGAGGGCAGATGAGCCATAGCCCATCAATCAAACTGTTGGGCGGAGAGGAGGGGCATGGCCTCCAGCGTGTGTTTGTTACTAAGATTACCTGAACTCCTGTACTGTATATCTTGTTCGCTGAGAAAGGTATCTAGATGGTTCTTAAATAACTCCATACTCTCAGCTGATACTGTCTGTGGAAGGGAGTTCCACAATTTTTTTTATTTATGTATTGTAAGATTTTTGGGTTGTTTTTTGTTGTTGTTGCTGTTTATGGCAATCATTTTTTTGTTTTCTATTTTAGCTCCCCCGATTTTAACTTTTACATTTTCTACTGCATTCCTTGTAGTTCTGGAAGGCCAGTGCTGCCCCTTCCATTTTATATTTCTTAAATGCCAGGTTCTTCTTAACAAGTTGTTTTACCTCCGGATTCAGCCACACAGGTTTAGCTTTTATTCTTTTATTTTTTATTACCCAATGGTATGCACAGGCTTAATGCTATTGTTCAGTATATCCTTAAAGCAACCCCACTTATTCTTAGTGTTCTTTGCTATAAATAGTTCCTTCCATTTGATATCATTCAATAATGATTGCAGCTTGTTGAAGTTTGCTGTTCTTGTCAAGCCAACTTTCTTTTCTGTAACCTACTGTGAACGTGATTACCCTGTGATCGCTGTTCCCCAAGTTTTCCCTAGTTGCTATGTGTGAAACCAGCTCTGTGTTTCATATTATTAGATCTGATAATGTATTCATCCTAGTCCAGATTTCTACGATCTGTTCCATTAAACTTCTCTCACTAAGTTAAGGAAATGGCCAGCCTTGGTTGAGTGTGCAGTTCCTTTTCCCCAAACTATGTCTAGATAATTGAAGTCCCCCATTATAACAAATTTGCCCTTTTCCCCAGCCAATTTAATCTGTGATAGGAGTTGAGTCTCCACACTCTCCTTTTGTGTTCTGGGGTCTAAAGCCTTGGTTCCCACCTGGTGGGTCATGACCCAAAAGTGGGTTGTGACCCCATGTTCAGTGGGACGCAGCGTGCCTTCCACTTTTCTAGGTGAGAGGTTCCTCAGCCTCCTCCTAACGCAGCACTTTAAAGGAGAACTATGGGGTTAGGGCTTTTCCCCATAGTTCTCCTAAGGGTAACGGGAGGACACAAACTAGAGTCCTCCCGTCACCCTAAGCTCAGTATACCGCGAGCTACAGCTCGTGGTATACTGAGACACCGCAGCTGAAACGGATCCCGACAATTATGTCTGGATCCGCCCAGCTGCGTGAGGGACAGCTGGCTCTGCCTATCGCCCGTCCGTTCCGCCAGGCAGCGCTGGAGGATCGGAGCAGGGAGGGGGGAAATCCAGTCCCTCCCCTGTCACGGCTCTCTGCCGTGGCAGGATCGAGAAGTGAGCGAACGCCGGTATGTGTTTGCTCACTTCCCGATCTACTGAGCCGACCTTTTACAGTTTCATTGTCACAGGCTGGCTAGAACTATGAGGACTATGAAAATCACTCGCCTCATAGTTCTCTAAGTTCTCGTGCCGAAAAGCCATTCAAAATATGCTGCTCGGCACCGAGTGTCAGCTTGGGGTGTGGTGGGATGGGGGTATGGCCGTGAGGGAGCTTCATCTATACGTGCATTGCTAACAACTTCCTCATGTGCCCTGTAGAGGTGGACCAGAGTGACATCACATTCTGATTCCCAGCACCTCTTCAGGGCCTGCAAGGGAGCTGTAGAAGCAATGCAGAGATGGATGGAGCTCCGTCACAGCACAGCAGCCCACACTGGTCCCCAGGCTGAGGATCCACTCCAGTTCTCGTAAGGTAGGGAGACTGGATGTACCTTAAACAAAGGAAACAAAAAGTTTTTGGAGTGTGTGGGAGAATGTCTGTGATTGTGTGAAATTGTGTATGTATGTCAGTGTTTTTGAGGGCACGGACACACTGGTACAGTGCGTTAATCACATTGCGTTAACGCACTGTACCAAGCAATCGCACCTACCGTGTATTCTGGTGTGGGAGGTGTTTTGTGTTGCCATTCATGCCCAAACACACCTCCCACCCACAGTTTGTACGTCCGCCCTGGAACGCGCGGTACCTTTTAAAGCCATCCGCTCCATTGCAGTGCGACTTGGGTCGCGACTTAATGATCAAGGACAAATGTGGGTCCTGAAGTTACACGGGTTGAGAACCACTGATCTAAAGAATACCCGACATTCCGTTTACTATTTGCTCATGTATACGTGTACAGAAGTAATGTATTGGGACCACTGTTTTCCCTTTGTTAGAAAAAGACGCAGTCACACAATGATTAGGTTGAAACCAGTTGGCATAAAGAAACACTGAGCTTGCCAAAAGGATTAGTTAATTATTATAGCAGGCCAATGGAGTATGACACGCACTCACTCTTTGGTATTAGGAAAGCAGAAACAAAATGGGACTGCACCCCCTTCCCCTCTCCTCTTTAACATGGGGGTGTGGTTCTGTAGTCCTAAGAGAACAATAGAATGGATGACGGAGAGCACAGGAAGTCATCAGCTGACAAGATTTCTGGCAAAATCAACAGGTGCTGTGTTCTTCTTTTTTTTTTTCTTTGAACTTATGAAACAGATATAAAGTGCTTTTCATGGTATTTTTAACAGACCAAAAGGGACCAAAGAAGTTATCTTTTAGGGCCCGTTCACACCAAAATTAGTAGGAAAACAGACGGTACGTTGACTTGCCGTTTCAACCTCTGTTGACTTCAGTTCTGTTCCATTACATCCATTTTTAGTTAGGTTATGTTGCAATGAAAAGTAGAGCATGCTCTATTTTTTTTTTTTTTTCATTGCACTGCAAAAGAATAGAACGGATCGCAGCGATGTGAACTGGTCCCATTTATTTTTCGGTGCCCTTGCATTGGTATCTGGTGAAAAACGGATCACAGTGCAACGCATGTGGTGTGAATGGTGTCTTAAGCTTTAAATACTTGGACTTGTCAGTAAATGAAATCACTCCAAATTAAGAAAAATCCTGTTTTGGTTGTCATGGCAACTTCACCTCTGTTCTTCTTCGAATGGCAAGTAGTAGGAGGGAAGTCCTTAGTTTCTGATAGTATAGTGAATCGGATTAGTTGCATTTAGCTGCACCTTGGGTTTAGCTCCATGTTAAGTTGTTTTATTTAATTTTGCCCGACAATCTAGTTATGGTAAATGCTTTAAAATGGAACGCCAGGAAAAAATTTTTTTGGGGGGGGAAGGAAGGTTTGAAGTTTACTAATATCTTACTAGTAATTATGGTTGCCCCATTTGTGGCTGGCTGCTGCATTAGTTAAAATGTATTATTTTTAGGCACCACCGACCTTTCTGCAAATGCTG